GCCCCCTTGCGGGGGCAAACTTTGCCCGGCCCGGGCCCCCCCGGAAGCCGGAAACCTCTTCGGGGGGCAAAAAAAGGTTCCCCCCCCCTCCAAGGACGGCGAGGGGCTGGCCGTACAGGTTCAAGCAGCTCATCAGAGGAGCGGGGGGCGCGCGTACCCCTCCGGGTGGCCCGCCAGCTACCGCGTCTCCTCGTTGGCCTCCCCCCGGGGGGCCAGGCTGCCCGGGGCGCGTGCCAGCGGCCGGGGCTCCGAGGCCGGCGCGGGCGTCCTCTGATGGGCGGGCAGGAAGGCCGCGTCCTCCCCGTAGAGCTGGAAGTGCTCCCGCGTCTTCACCAGGGCCACGCGCTCCTCCGCCTCGGGCCTGGCCAGGCCGGGCCTCTGCGGGCTGCGGGACGGGCTCCCCCTGTCCTCGGCTCTCAGGGCGGCCTTGGCCGAGCCGATGTGCTGGATGTGCGTGGTGGACGTGGTCTGGTCTCTCCTGAGGGCCTCCAGCTTGGTGACCGTCCTGTCCCTCTTCTGGGGAGGGCCGCACCTGTCCCTGCAGGGGTGGGGGGGTGAGAGGGGGCACAGTGTTCACAGCTCACAACCTGGAAGCCCCTTCGGCAGCCAGCCCACCACAACGGCACCCCCTGGGCGATGCTGGTGGACGCCCCCCCCCTCCTGGTTAACCCCCTGCTGTGAAGAGGAGCCCACCCAGTCCTACGACTACACTTTGTAACCCGCAGCTCACGCCGGCCCATCCTGTGACCGAGGGTGTGGGGTGCGCACACGAACGCCCGCGCACCTGCAATAGCACAGCAGCACCGCGAAGAAGCCGACGACGATGACGACCGTGCCCCCCAGGATGGCCGTCAGGAACACCGTGTGGTAGGCGGCGATGTCCGGGGAGTCTCCGCCGCCGCCCGGGCCTGAGCGGTTCCGTAGAAACAAGCAAGTGACATGGAAAGGAAGTGCACACCTTGTTAGTACTTTGTCACCCGCCCCTGGGGCTGTTTTCTCATTGACTTTCAGAGAGAATTCTACTGAAGATTCACATGAAAACAGATTCTATATCGACCACGCTCCCTCAGCAGCCCCAGCAGGTACCCAGCCCGTGACGGGCCACCCTGGACTGGACAGCAACACTCAGCTCCTAGAAGGGGTCACCACATCCAACCCCCGCTGTTCAGAAACCTGCAAACTACGACTCCAGGGGTCAGCGCCTGTTTCAGACCCCGGTCAGCGCCGGCAAAGGCAGCGACACTCAGGCTGCCCGAGTGTCTGGCAGAGCACAGCGCTCCCCAGGCCGGAGATCCGCCTGCAGCAGGAGCAGCAGCAGAAGGGATTGAAGTCGGTCTCAGGGGGAACCTCCCTCTCCTTCAGCACCTGATCCAGTTTTTCCAAGACAAAAGCTCAGACCAAACTCTAACTAGTTCAGAAAAGCATCCAGCTTTTACAGTTCATAAGGTCACCGTGTAAGTTGGTTGTTTCAGGTGTACGTTTAGGGGAAGGTACACTTCTCTCTCAGTAACAAAGTAAACGGATGAACCAAGTGGATCCAGAGACATGGAAGCACGGAACAGAGGGCGGAATCTCGGAGGGAAGGCGGGAGGGTGGTGGGTGGGAGGTGATCAACCAAAGACCTTGTGTGCACATATGCATGGGCCGTGGCCACAGACAGTGGGGTGCTGAAGGCCTGGGGCGGGGGGCAGGGGCGGGCTGGAGGGGGTCAATGGTAGAAAAAAGGGGACATATGTAATACTTTCAACAATAAAGAATTATTTAAAATATAAATAAATAGCCCTGGCCGGGTTGGCTCAGTGGGTAGAGCGTCAGCCTGTGGACTGAAGGGTCCCGGGTTCAGTTTGGGTCAAGGGCACAGGCCTGAGTTGTGGGCTCGATCCCCAGTAGGGGGCGTGCAGGAGGCAGCCGATCCATGATTCTCTCTCATCATTGTTTCTATCCCTCTCTTTCTCTCCATTCCTCTCTGAAATCAATAAAAATTTATTTATATATATATATATATATATATATATAAATAATATAAAAATACCAAAAAAAAGAGGTATACCTCTTCCCTACAAAGCCCAAGTGCTCCTCAGGCTGTCTTTGTTAGACATGAAATGGCGTGGCGTTCGCTGGGTTGAAGGGTTACATTAAATATTAACTGTTCTTTCTCATCAATATTTCATTCTAGTTGCAAACCAGGATGGGACGAGGCCGGACAGCTGGCAAGGCCGCGTGGTATTTTGCATCGTGAGGACAAAGGCAACCCCCTCTAATTTCTGAATAATAATGTCGTCAGCACTGCGGTCAGACCCACACGGAGAGAACAGCCCGTGGACCGACACGGTTCAGGGCTCACAGCTCTCCTACGCGAAGACCAAATTCAGCTTCACTTAAGAACAAGTCTTGCATCGTTTTATTAACCAATGTCACCCAATAAATTCAATTTTTAAAAAAGTCTTGTTCCTTGCACAGTTTAAAATGTGAAGACTGTCAATAAAACAATGAACGTTAAAACCTTTTTTTTAATTTCAGAAAAACTGTGAGAGTCTTCACATGAACAGACACCGTGAGGAGTGCGAGGACAGGAGCCGCGAAGAAAGGTGTGTGAGCGTCACCACATCCCAGTGGGCGTTTGCGTCCCGGTCGGCGTGGGCGCTGGGACTGTCCTGCCGGCCTGGGACAGCCGCCTCCCGGCCCGGAGCCAGGCACTCCCAGGATTAACTCTCCGACCCACGATTAGATGGAGGGATGGCCTGGGCACTCAGCTTTCACTCCCCCCAAACTTCCCGGAAGCGCACTGAGGTTTTGCTTTGCTTTGTTTTTGGAGATTGCAAACCACAAGCTACAAGAGGAGGAGGTGGGAGACAAGAGCAGAGGCTGAAGGCCGGGAAGTTGCCTTGGCAACACTGGCTGCAGGGAAGCCCCGAGGCAACTCGATTTATGCCAGCCCCCACCCCAAGGCCTAGGGGCAGCAGGCCTGGTGCAGCTAGAGGACTCCTCTTTATTTAAGAAGACTTAGCCCGGCCGGCTGGCTCAGTGGTTGAACGTCGGCCTGTGAACCAGGAGGTCACCATTCCATTCCCAGTCAGGGCACAGGCCCGGAGTTGTGAGCTCGACCCCCAGGGTGGGGTGTGCAGGAGGCAGCCGATCCATGATTCTCTCTCATCATTGATGTTTCCCTCTCTCTTTCCCTCCCCCTTCCTCTCTGACATTAATAAAAATATTTTTTAAATAAATAAATAAAACGTTTTAAAAAAGAAGACTTAATGGCTAAAACATGCAGTGCTTGAGTCTTTTGAGAGAGCTGCACAACGCACAGGTACCCGCCGGATGTCCTCAGGTGCACGTGGTGTCATTGGGCGCCTTGTTACATCTAGAAACCTGAGAGGCTCCTTCCTCCCGGATCTGACAGAGCACGCCTCCTGGGCCGGCCTCGGTCCCGTCCACCTCTGCCCGCCCACACGGCAGGCCCATCTCCCCCGGGTGTCGCCTGCCTTACCTGGGGAGCAGCCTGGGGACACACTTATCCGCAGCCCTTCCTCCCCCCAGGGCTGTGCTCAGGGCCCAGGCCCGGGCCCCCACATTCGCCTCCCTCCTGGGAGGCAGAAGCGTGTGAGGACAGGGCGGCAGAGGGTGAGTCAGCCATCGCACGGCAGAGCCAGTGACGGCGTCGGGTGGGCCTGAGCCGGGGCGGGGACCCTGCCTCCTGGCACCTGCTTCCTCGGCCTCCCCAGCACCCCGTGGGCCCCCCTCGCCCTCGCTGCGTCGCAATCACCCAGAGCCTGTCCCCCTCCCGGCAACCAGGTGCTCTCACTGGTCTGGGCAGAAATTATTCACAAAAAGTGAACTCAGAAAAGAGAGAGTGTCCTCTTGGCCTTCAGAAACCTGGCTGCACGAGGAAACCAACCCCGTTCGTACTGTGGGTCTGACACTGTCGCTGCAGGAGGAACAGTGGCCCAGAAGGGCTGCCTGGCTTGCCTGAAGCCATCCAGCAACACCGGGCACGACTCCCACCAGATGCCCTGACCCCGATGCGGGCTCTGGCACCGTAACTCTGTTCCTTGCTGATCTGCTGACTGGTTTTATCTTTTCTTTACTTCCAGACCAGCAGTCACCAACCTTTCGGACCTCGCGGACCACCAGTTGGCGACCGCTGTACTAGACGACAGGGAATGACTTTTTTTTCTGCTTTTATTCAACTCCCCTGTTCGTACCCACCGTTTTGAGCGCATATCTCCTTAGCAACTATTTAGCTGAGTTATCACATCAAGACAACAAGAACTCTCAGCTACTCGCTGAAATGTATGAAAGAAAGCTGTAATTGCGAAGTTCATGTTTTATATGGAAACCTGAGGCCTGGTGCACGGCAGGGTCCCTGGGCCTGGCCTGCGAGGACTGGCCAAAACCGGCTCTCTGACACCCCCCGAGGCTCCCGGATTGCGAGAGGGCGGTTCTCGGATGATGCACCCCGGAATCGAGCTCTCTCCTCTCTGGTCCCGAGAACCGTAGCTGCCAAGTCACCACAGCTCGGCAGCTCCTACATTGAGCACCTGCCCCTTGGCAGTCAGTGCATGTCATAGCTACCGGTCGGAGCGTCTGACCCCTGGTGGTCATTGTGCATCATTGCTACTGGTCAGATGGTCGAACGTTCAGACGGTCGCTTAGGCTTTTATACATACAGATATTCTATGACCTACTGATGGTGCTCCCTGAGAAAATTTAACTCCTGCTATATCTACTATAAAGACTTGGCTCACTTAAAAAAAAAGAAAAGGGAAGAAAAGAAAGAGAAAGAGAGAGAGAGGAAGGAAAGACTTGATCCAAACAAACTTCATATTCACCAGCTATCGTAGCTCCAAGAGACCTTAGAGCTCACAGAGCCTAACTTTTCTTATGAACACGGAGCAGACGAAAAGCCCGGAAGCCGTGTGCACAATGCACCACAGGGAGCGCGATGCTTATAACGAGGTCGGCCGCCGTCAGTGCCAGCGTGGCTGCTTGGGGGTCGCGTTTAATTACTTTTTGTTTCATTTTTACAAACCTCTAGTTCCTGGAAGCGGAGCTGCTATCCAGTAGCCCAGATGCGGCGCGTCGTACATCCAGATTAAATGATTATTGTAGTCCTTGACCACTCCCCGGCCGTGACTGATCCAAGTACCTACAAGAAAGATCAGAGAAGACGCCAAACAGTTATAGTCGGTATCGGTCCCTTTAGAGCTGAAGGAGTTTGCTGAGAGTCATGTAGAGAGCACCTTGCAGGACTTTTTCAAAAATTATGAAAACTGTAGCAATATATTACCATGGGATAATATATACATCATATGTCACATGGTACTATAGTACCTATGATAATAAGATATTAAATAAAATGTTTTGAATGATTTGTTATGACTACACAAAATAAAATCATTACAAATAAGTACAGGATGTTTTAGGAAATCATAACTCTCCAAATGTTTAAATTGTGCCTACTGAGCCCGACCGGTGTGGCTCGATGGTTGAGTGTTGACCCATGAACCAGGAGGTCATGTTTTGATTCCTGGTCAGGGCACATGTCTGTGTTGTGGGCTCCATCCCCAGTGTGGGGTGTGCAGGAGGCAGCCGATCGATGATTCTCTCTCATCGATGTTTTATCTCTCTCTCCCTCTGCCTTCCTCTCTGAAGTCAATAAAAATATATTTAAATTGTGCCTATTGCGATTATCGTAAGGATGCGAGTAGTGAAATCCGACAGGTGGTTGGTTATCTGCCACCTGTTCTGGGATTCCCTTTAGGCAGGTATAGTGTATGCCGTGTTTGCATATGTGATAATCAATCAAAAATTCTTTCACTGGAAGGTACAGTAGAGGCAAAGGCCTTTGCCAGGAGGAATAACCTGAAATCAGGACTCAAACAAGAAGATCTTCTTCTTCAAAGTGATTTCAAACAACCTCTCACTCAATGTGTAGGAAGCTGAGGCCCAAGTAAGGGATGTGCTTACAAACAACCCTGGTGAGTGGGCTGTTTCCATCATGAGGCCTTTTAAGTTACTTTACACTGAAATGGAGCAACTTCACTTGTCAGTTACCCTTCAATAAAGCTGGAACAAAAGTGCAGAAACCTACGTCTACGATCCAGCATTCACAAGAAAAGCATCCAGAACGCCTCTCTCGTCACACACCTGTGTTCATGTCGAAGGTCCAGGCGGGGAGGGGGTCCCCCGCCCTCACGCCCTGGGGGTGGAGAAGCGGGAGCGAAAGCTGCACGGAGCCGGCCACCTGGAGCTCCCTGCCGCCCGCGTACATCTTCACGCACACCGCGGCCAGCGGCGTCAGCTCGATGCTCTCAAAACCTGGAAAAGGCCGTTTATTAACGTCGACGTGAACACGGGTGTGGTGACCTGTCAGCAGCATGCGTATGGGCCCAACACCTGGCTCCTCTCGTTCAGCCAGCGCTGCCCGTGACAGACACTTCTCACCCATGTGATAAGGACGCACAGAAAGTGCATAAAATTATAAAAAGACAAATGCACATTGATCTAAATTAGCGGTTCTCAACCTGTGGGTCACAACCCCTTTGGCGGTCCAACAACCCTTTCACAGGGGTCGCCTAAGACCATCCTGCATATCAGATATTTACATGACGATTCATCACAGTAGCCACATTACAGTTATGAAGTAGCAACGAAAATAATGTTATGGTTGGGTCACAACATGAGGAACTGTATTTAAAGGGCCAGAAGGTTGAGAACCACTGCTCTAAATCAAATTTCCATTTTTAAATGTATTTTTTAATTTACAAGGTCACACAACAATCGTTACTATTTTCGACACCTGTTTTGACCTCTTGGAGGTAAAATTTGGAGGAGGGTGTGCAGAAGGCTTTGTTAACCTTTCTCCCCCTGCATACGAGCGGATCGAGTGCTTGTAGCTTCTAACCACTGGCCTGTGTTTCCGAAATGCCCCCCCGCCCCCCCCAGCCTCAGCGAGCGTCCGACCTAAATCGCTGCGGCAGCTTTGACGAGAGGCTTGGGTACTGTCTCCTACAGATGACCCTCCTGCGAGAAAGGAGACAGCACCTGATTTGTTCAGCGTGACTCCGGTCGTATACAGGAAACTGTCCATTTTCAGAAACTGCTGCAGGACGGTGAGGTAGCCGGTCACGTTGCCCAGGTGGTGGCGGTCCGGGAGCTGGATGAAGGCTTTTGAAAACTGGGCACTTGGTTGAGATTTGGCATCTGGAAGGAAAAACAACCTGATCCATTTAGATTTTCCCACCTTAGGACCCGCAGTGACTCGTCCCTGCGGACCTGCAGTTGTCAGAGTAACCACCTCAACTGTGGACTTGTTAGCCGAGAAGAAAGCGTTACACTTACCGGCTAACTTTCCAGTAATTAAAACGGTGTCTTCAAACAGCCATATATTTGCTTGGCTTTGCGGGAACAGTGAAAGCGTCACTGATGAATATACTGTGAAATACAGCACAATGGAGAGACGTTACTAAGCCGGGGGGGGGGGGGGGCAGACATGCATAGATCTGCTCCAGCAAGACCCTAAAAAGTGGTAAAAAAACAAACAAACTGTGAGCCAGGCCGGTGGGGTTGGGTGTCCACCTATGAACCAGGAGGTCAGGGTTCGATTCCTGGTCAGGGCACATGCCCGGGTGGCGGCTCGATCCCCAGAGTGGGGCGTGCAGGAGGCAGCCGGTCCATGACTCTGTCATCATGGATGTTTCCATCTCCCTCTCCCTCTCCCTTCCTGGCTGAGATCAATAAAATATATTTGAGAGGAAAGGAAACGGGCACTCCTTTCTGACCCAGGTTATACGATCCCGCAGACATTCCCTGTGCACTTAGCAGAACCCAGGCCCCCGGAGGGCGGAGGGCGCGGCTGGGACGGGCACCCCGCCCCTCGCTTACTTGGCATCTGGCCGGGCCTCCAGGCCAGCGGGGCCAGCACGTAGCCGACCTTGTGCGCCAGGATGGTGAGGCCGAGGCCCAGCGCGAAGGGCACGCGGACCAGCACGGAGCCCTGGCTCCCGGTGGCGGCGGAATTCGTCTTCGTGTGGTTGACAAACACCTCGACCGCCGCCCGGCTCAGGGGCTGGCGGCTGATGATGTCATTCACCTGGACCTTCAGCGTGAACACGGACCCTGGAGGGAAGCAGGAGCGCAGCCGTCAGACCCGGAGCGCGTGTCCCGGCGTCCACACGCCTCCCGGGCCTGCGAGCGGCGGTGCAAGCTGCTGGCAAACTCAGGAGACAGGGGTGTGTGGATGGGTGCACAGGAGCGGGTGGAAACCCTTCCGGCAGAGTCAAATCTTCCTGAAACCCCACGCATTCGGGGCTCCGAACCCACCTCCACACCAGGTTACAGTGAGCCTGGGGGTCAGTCTAATTCCAGGAACGTGCAGTGTGACCCTCATTGCGAACCTAAATCCTATATAATAACAGCGGCTTCAGGAGGGAGCGGGAGTGTCCCCACACGCCCATGCTCAGCCATGGCTGCCAGCTCCAACGGGAGGTGTAACGCCTGGAAAACTGACAGCTGGAGTATCTATGACACGATGGGCTCTCACCCAACGGTACCTGCACAGGCCCACGTAGTGCAGAAAACGGTTACGCGTGGAGGACAAGCAGCTGCTGCTCAATTCAAAACTGGCCCCCCAGCCGCCTGCCCCCGACCCCTAGACACAGGGGCTGGGCCACCGGTGAAGCATCTCACTCGTGGGGGCCTGAGAGATTTCTGTCAGGACCTCGCAATGTGAATAGAGACACACAGAGGCTAATAGAAAATGGAAAAAATCAAACACGACAAAAACAAACCAAAAAAAAAAAACCCGGCCGGCGTGGCTCAGTGGTTGAGCGTCAACCTATGAACCAGGAGGTCACAGTTCAATTCCAGGTTGTGGGTTCGATTCCCAGTAGGGGGCGTGCAGGGGGCAGGTGATCAATGATTCTCTCTCATCATTGATGTTTCTATCTCTCCCTCTTCCTTCCTGTCTGAAATCAATAAAAATATATATTTTTTTAAAAAGATACCCACACAGAGGCTCAGGTTGCTGGAGCTGAACCCTCTGAGAGACTCTAGGAGCCCCACCCACCGGTTCCCTCATTTCCTGGCCCCTCCCCTTCCACAAGCTGGCGGTGCAGCTGCTGAGCTGTGAGCCTTATCATCGTCCCTCCCCGAATCCCTCTGTTCCTTGTCCTCAGCCTCCGATGCAGCTGCCGGCTTCCAAGGCAAGAACTTGAATGATGCCGGGCACAACCTGACACAGGATGTTCACTGGGCTGTTCTGCTCGGAGGGCAAAGGCAGACGGACAGTGTTACTGACCAAAACTATGACGCCTATGAGATGAAGGGCACACAGCTCACGGTGAGGGAATCAGTGTTCTTCCCGATTAAAATGCGATGCTCCCCCATTCCACTCCTCAGTATTTACCGGAAAAAGGAAAGCACATGTCCGAACAGACTTGTGTATGGACGTGTCTAGCAGCTCATCTTTAATAGCAAGAACTTACACAACCAAAATGCCCACCAACAGACGGACGAACAAACTGCGGTGGGACCACACAATGTCATGTGTTCGGCCATGAAAAGGCACGTTCCATCAACACACAACAGCGGGAACGACTCTCAGAGTGACTACGCTTAGTGAAGGAACACCAACTAAAGAGAGGACATGTCGTATGGTTCCGTTTACAAAATTCTAGTAAATTCCAACTATTTTATAGGGACAATAATTAGGTCAGTGGTCGCTTCAGGAGGATGGAGAGATGGAGGGGGCGGGCAGGAAACTGGGGGTGATGAGTGTGTTCACCATCTTGATGGTGGTGAGAATTTGAAGGTTTGTATGTCAAACTGTACCCATTATATCTCAATGAAGCTGCCCTTTAAAAAACAATAAAAGGTAAAGTTTGAGGACAGGTCTGATGAGCCTCGTGTCCGTGCCATGGCGCCTCCCGCAGCACAGGCAGGAGGGAACTCCAGCGGGAATTTGTATTCATCCACTTGCTGGGAAGGTTCATGTCACGAGTTCTCGGAGCCTTTGGGTTGTGGACACATCCAATGGGCTGTAAGCCCAGCTCACTCCGCGTCTTAAGAACTCTGCCTGCCCATCTGCTCCGTCCCGTGGAGCGGCGGCCAACATAAGGCGCTAAGCGCTGGCGGCGGAGGCTGGGTTGGAACATGGGTGCTTTCTAAAACGTTTCCACTGCAGGATGGTGTTTCATCTTTTCACACGTGATAACAATATTCGTGTCACAAATGTGCTGAGACAACGAACACCAACGTCAGAAAAAGTGATCGGCAAAGTCACCCCTCGGCCACCCACTCGTCTTCCCCTGAGGACCCCACGCCTGGGCCCAGGTCACCTTACAGACAGGGCACACGCGGCAGGAGCAGGAGCTCAAACTGGAAAAACGATTGATGTTGATGTTGGTGTGATATACACACGCATGTGCGCAGACACACACACACACACACACACACACACACACACACACACATACACACACACACACCAGGTCCAGAGCTAGAAACTTCAGACGACAATTCAACAGTGAAACTGCCCAGCTTCACCCTGACACACACCCGCAGGCACCTCCGTCCCCCCCAACTCCCGCTCTCCGCAGGCCCCGCAACTGAACCGCCCAGAGAAGAAGGAAGATCCGCCGATGAGCAGGCGGATCCGGATCCTCCGACTCCCAGTCCCAGCATCCCACCACACATCCCCCCGGGAGAAGCCTCGGGGCCTGGTTTCATCACTGTTTACCAGCTCACCACCTCCCCCGGGCGCCCCAGAGCTGAGAAGGGGGTGCCCATTCGCTGGCCCTCCATCCTCACCCTCCTTCTCCATCCCTCACCCTCCTTCCTCCGCCTGGGTTGTGTGGCCCCGGCACGAGCAGCAGCAAAAACAGCATTAAAATCAAAACAAAAACAAAAAACTCAAAACCATTCCAGGAGCACAAACAACTCGTCTTCCCCCAATAAAGGGACCATGACAAAGTAGGACCTATCCGTGACTTAAAAGGAGGTGCTCTGGACTTGTGTGTGTCGAGTTTGACCAGGGCACCCCCACTGACTGCCAGAAGCACCCACATCCACACACCCCGCCCCTCCAGGTCTCCCTCCCTCAGAGCCGCTCCCCCTCCAGGTCTCCCTCCCTCAGAGCTACTCCCCCTCCAGGTCTCCCTCCTCAGAGCTGCCCCCCTCCAGGTCTCCCTCCCTCAGAGCTCCTCCCCCTCCAGGTCTCCCTCCCTCAGAGCTGCCCCCCTCCAGGTCTCCCTCCCTCAGAGCTCCTCCCCCTCCAGGTCTCCCTCCCTCAGAGCTACTCCCCCTCCAGGTCTCCCTCCCTCAGAGCTACTCCCCCTCCAGGTCTCCCTCCCTCAGAGCTACTCCCCCTCCAGGTCTCCCTCCCTCAGAGCTACTCCCCCTCCAGGTCTCCCTCCCTCAGAGCTGCAGAGTCTGTGGTTAAAGACGTGATTTTCAACCCGAGGGGCGCCTTCTCCCTGGGGATAGGCCCCTCCTCCCCACTGAGTTTCCAGCTTCCTAGGCACATAGCACTTTCTCTGTCACTTAATTATAATCATTACGGCGGGCCCACCTAACCTTCTTCTCATCATGTCACCGTTGTTTAAAAAGCGCCCGAGAGCAAACGATTTCAGCAGCAGCCTTAGGAAACAGATCACCTACATGGGGGGAGAAAGTAAAAATAAAATGCACACCCTCGAGCGCGGCCTGAGCTGCTGGGAGAGGCTGAGCGTTCAGCACGTAAGGGGAGCTGCCAGGTCGAGAGAATCACTAAGATTCAAAGGGTCACAGGAAGGAGGGGCGCCAACGGAGTGCCCCTCGCGGAAGCGGAGAGTTCACGGAGACCCCGGACGTCCCCGATCCGTTCCGACCAGAGAGGAAGTCGGCCCCGCAGCTCTCGCTGTTCTGACCTCGCCTGGGAGACACCAGAGCAGAATTTCCTTCAAAGACACCAGAGCGGAATTCCAAAGGGTCCAAAGGGATCGGTCACCTCCTTCAGACCCTCGCAGGCCCTCGGGGCTGTTTCCTCTTTTTCAGACAAATCTAAGCTAATGGTTAGCACTCATCTAAATGGGCAGGAGGCGGGGAGTTAATGCGTCTGTTAATCTATCATCAATAATCAAAACTTCCGGGGGGGGGCGGGAGAGGGTCCCGAGGGTCCTTGGGAAGCCCATCAGCACCAACACGGCGTCCTGGCTGTGCCGTAGGACCCAGGCAGGTCGAGTGTGCGGAGGGTTAAAGGCACGGCCGACTGTGCACCCGGAGACCCCGGGGCTGACACACGAAACCCCGAGTCCTGTCACCGGCACGGGGCCTCGTCTCCTCTGCAGCCACGCTGTGCGGTGTCACCGGCGCTGCGGAGAAACCGGCTTCCTTCCGATTTCTCTACAGAAACCAGCCTCCTCTCCCCCTGCACTCCAAGCACCTACACTCGTCTCATTTCCCACACAACACGCTCCTCTCCACAAAGACGATGCTCAGCGCATCCTAGTGAAGGCCTGGGGGTGGCTGGGGCGTTGGGGAGCGGAGGGGGGGCTCCCTGGGGAAGAAGGGGCATCTGTAACCCTTTCCACAATAAGATACGTTTGTTAAACATACACAAGTGCTAATCTAACAAAGAAAAACAAAGGTGGCTTCTTGTTTCTCAAATAAACAAATAAATAAATAAAGCTTGATGCACAATAACAGCAAACGTTTCAGATATAAGCTTTGTCAGCATCAAATTCAAAAGGCCATGCCGAGGGGTACGCATTCTGATGAGAAGCAATGGACAAGCAGAGGAATCATCCCTGGTGAGTGAACGGCTGTTTGCTGGGCCACCCTGACCCGGGGGGCGGGGGGGGGGGGCACGGAGGACGTGGACCACATGGCCCTGCTACCCCTCCTTCCCCCCCACCCCCAGATCACCCCAGCTCCATGAAACCACAGTTGTCTCTGATGATAGCCCTTCCTGTAGCAGGGCCTCTAACCAACTTCTTTTACGCCCTTCGGGGAAGGTCAAAGGTTGCTCCTGAGTTCCCCTTTCTGAGTGACCCCCTTAACATAACCACACCCCAAAGGTAGGCTTTGGGGGCACACTCGGCTCCCCCTCCGCACTTATCTACAACCAGGAAATTCAAATGGTGCAACCACTTGTGATGGAGGTTTGTACAGGCCTCGGAACACTGAAAATGCAGACACCAGGTGGAACTCAGCGACCCCATGTCCCCTGCATGAAC